AAGGAAAACAAGAGAGAAAATGCATTTTTTTTTCTGTTTGGATGAAAAAGAAAAAGTGACATGAAAGAAAAGTTGAAAAGAAAATGAGGTATGAGACTCATCGCATTTTCCTCTCAACTTTTCTCCCTAAAGGTGAAAAAGTTTTGAGAGTAAACTCTTACTTCCATTACCTACCATCCCCCCCTCTCTCTTCCTCTTTTGCCTGCTTCAACCACATTAATTTCCTAAAAATAATTAGATTTTAATCTCCATAAAAATTTGTGTCTTTAGTTTTCAAGAACTAGTTTAATTTTAACAACTAATTTTAATTTAATTGATTTGATGATGTTGATTTTAATATAATGAATTTGATTTTAAGAAATAGAAATAAAATTTACATCTTTAGCTTTCTATATTTTTTTAATAACTAATTTGATTTTAAATTAATTTGATGATGTTAATTTTAATATAATTATTATTTCAATTTATTTTTACAAAAATAATTACATAAGATATGATATATGCTAATATAAAGGTATTATAATCATTATAAAATTATTTTATTTTCTTTTCTACCTATTTTTTATTGTCCATTCAAACATAATAAGTAATAATTTTTTTTTTTAATTTTTTTTTTCTTAACTTCTCTTCCCATCTAAGCAAGAGATAAGAGAAGGCTAAGAGAAGGTTGAGAGCCTGAGAGATGAATACGGTTGATGCAGAGCAGGGAAGAGCACACATGACTTCAGAGGGAGGCCTGAACACCCACGAGGCACGATTACATGGACAGGGACAGAGATCAGAGAACGACATAGAGCAAGGAAGAGCAAAACAGAGTAGATCGGAGAAGACGCATGACTACACGAACACCCATAGTTGCTCGGACAGAGGAGGAGTGGGAGGATTTCGGCACTGTCACGGTCATCGGTTACGAACGAGAAAGAGGGCAGAGAAGGTGCGGAAGGGTATCGATTTTTTTCTCTCTCTCACAGTCGGTCACCATTGAAGTGATTGAAATGAAGAAGAAGGAAGCTAGAATGGAGAGATTGAGCTGGGCGAGCAGCGATGGCGGGCGAGCTGGGTGATGGGAAGGGTTTTCATTTCACGAGTCCTCTCCGTGACCCCGTCTCTCCTGTCTGAGGAGTGAGGACTGAGGGCTGAGACTGAGTCTGAGGGGAGTCCGGTTTGAGCTGAGCACCGCAGTGATTATCGTAGAAAAGCATATGGAGGATTCAGATTTTAATTTGAATGATCCATATTTCTTTAATTTTAATTTTAATTTTAATTTTATAAAAATATTTTTAGATTTTTAAATTTTAATTTTATAAAAATAAAATTAATAATTTTTTGATAAATATATTCATGGTATCAATTCAATTTGAAACTCTACACAATTCAATTTAATATTATAATTTTTATAAACTGATTATCTAAATATATTATAAATAAGAAAGATTTAATATTAAATTTTTTTAATAAGTTTTTATTTTAATAAATAAAAATAAAAATAAAAAATTTAAATTTAAGCCTTACAGATAAAAATTTAATGTTGAATCTGGATTGTTCAGAGTATATTCAGATAATTAATTTATGAAAATTATAATATTAAATTGAACCATTCAAATTTAATCAGTACTATTCAGATTGATGATGAATATATCCAGATTAATAATAAATATATTTATCAAAAAAATTTATAAATTTTATTTTTATAAAATTAAAATTAAAATTAAAATTAAAAAAAATTGCACCATTTAAATTAAAATTTAGATGGCTCACATGCTTTTCTACGACGCGCAAACCGGACTCGTCTGAGGGTGGGTGCTACCTTGCTGACTAGATTGAGTGTGAACCGTGCGTGCTGTGTGCGCGCATGGTGCGTGGGAAGTGGGCACTGGGCAAGGGGTTTAATTCCAACAGAAAGAAAAAATGAAGGAATTGGACTTGGCCTGAATTTTGTCAACCCAAGTAAGCCTGTATATTAAAAAACTAATTTTTTTGATTTGGTCCTCAATTTTTAACTAAATCCTTCTTTTCCTATTTTGTTTCCTTTAGAAAATTTATTTGCTGCAGCTTCAATTGTAACCAAACTAAATTGGGGGGACTTCAAGTTGGAGCTTTCTTCCCCAACTGGACCAATACATGTTAATATCAAAGCTAAGTGCATGCTATATAATTAAAGCAAGCATGCATTCTTTTAAATTTAAAAGTGAACAGTGATATAGATATTACAATTTTCTCTAAGAATAGCCTAGCTACTCTTTCTTGTCTTTCTCCTTATCAGATAGTAACCCACGGCTAAACAAAAGAGTGTCATTGAAAGTTGAAACAATAATTTTGACAACAATTTGTGTTGCAGCACCATCTCCTTTTCCTGATCACAAAAAACCAAGCGAATGTGTCATTTATATGTATCATTAAGAGCAGAGGTTATAGTTCATGTGATAACACACAAGAGAAACAAACAATTTAGAATTTCAAGTTTTTTTTCCTTAAAAAAAAAAAACCAATTTTACATTGCATGTCCTTCCTTGTATTGCGTTTGGATAAGTAGATAAATATAAAATTTTCAAACAGCGCGCTCACGCAAGACTAATCAGAAGCATCAGGAAGTTTCTGAGTCAAAAATGGCAAGTTATTATTGATCACTCCTACAGGGGGAGACTAATCGTAGTGTTGACCACCGAGCCAATCATGCTCTCTCAGCCTGCAGCTTGGAGTTCATGAACTCACAGAATCTCACCCAAATCTCTCCTCCCCGTTCCTAGATTTAATAATTAATATAAAATAAAAAAGAAGTGTAATTACTCCCAAGTCCTAACCCAAATATATAATAGTTGATGAATAAGAGAGATGAGTATATGTTGGCTGAGGCCTGAGGATCATGTATACCTCTGGTCTCTGGTGGCGGTTAAGTGGGTAGATGGCGGGGAGATGCCTACTTCTGAAGTGTAGTAAAAGCGGTAGAGCTCATACCTCATATTGCAACTAGGATGAATGGCCTTCCCTCATAATAACCATCGTGGGAATTCTTGGAAAGCCTTTAGCAAGCACTAGTTACAATCATCCTTGGACAAATCAGGAGTACACTGAACAATAGCATACACACTCCCAAATCCGGTGATAGCGTCATCACTTGCTGCGTGCCTACGACGGAAGTCACCCGTCGCTGCTTCGTTAATTGATCCATTCAATAATAGCCACACATCTTGATCCATACCGACGGTGCCTGCATTTCTTTTGCCCACCATAAACGTTTTTGTATTTCGTAAATATTGAACAATATGAGTATCGTAACATGCAAGAGTCAGAAAATCCAAATGTCGCCTTCTTTTCTGGACAATGGAGAGAGGGTGTGGCATTTCTGTGGCAACTACGGCAAGGATCTGGCCTCACATCTCCTCTGCAGAGTCCGAGCGCGTTAACTTTGTCAGGGTCATGGCCATAAGAGGAAGTGTAGAAGCCATAGTCAATTGTTGTGTCAGTAGCGAAATTAAGAAGAAGGGCATTCTGGTTGGTGTGGTAGGTGCTTGCTTTTGTATTGTTTCCTGTGCCATTGGAGCAGATGTGATGAACGAAGTCAGACTGGGCTGTGACAAAGATGAAACGAGAAACGAAAGAAAACCGGCACAGCAAAATAGATGATGGACATCGTCCTTAAGGAATGATAGATCCAAGCATTGAGGACTATTTTTAAAGATCGAGTCATGATCGTTGTTCCCAACACCAGTAAGAGTACCTTAATTTATTTATTTATTTATTTTTTTGGGGTAAAAACGAGTGAGAGTACTTTATTGACAATGGTTCATGGTATCTAGAGCTTTTTTTTTTTTTAAGGGAAAAAAGTATTCATTGAACTGGAGAAAAACAAAGTAATAGAGCAGTTTCTAGGAAGGAACTAAGTCATTGACTCTGATTGAAACAAATTTGATCGAACACAGACAGACTAGCCTAAACATTTCTGTGGTAGCTGTCAAAGTTCATATTTAATGCTCCTTATTTTTTTATTTATAGAAGAAACTATTATTTTTTATTTATTCTTTTACATAAATAAAATCATAGTTTTCAATAAGTATTTACTTATTTTTTTATATAATAAATACTTTTGTTGATTAGGACATTTTAATCCAATTTTTTTATTTTCAGGCATAATTATTATGATAAACTAATTTTCTTAAATTGTATGATTTTTTTTTATATATAAAAATGGAGGGATTATTTTTCACTTTTGCTTTGACAATTATCTCCCTCATGTACCCCATCAGGAGAGATGATCCTCTCCTTTTCCCTGTTACTCTTCTTCCTCTCATTTTCTATGTCCCTTCTGTTCCTCTTCTTTTCGCTTTTCTACTATTAATGAATTAAAATTTTAATGATTGAGATTTAATATTTTATAAATTATTATTGTTTTATAAAAATTCATAACTAAATTTTAGCCTGTTAAAATTTTATATAAACAGTATAAAATGTAAGATGTTATTAAAATATTTTTCAATTGTTTTACTACAATTTTAAACTGTCCGGATCAAATTTTTATGATTTAAATTTTTATGTAATTTTTTATGTAAAAATATAATAATAGTTTTATAATATATTAAATCTCAATCATTGAAATTTTAATCTAACATTGGTGATGGGAAGAGCAGAGGAAGAAGAGATCACGAGGGAAAAGGAGAAAATCCAATTATGTTTTACATCGTAATCATAGTTTATTATTCAGAACAAAATGAAATAATATAATAAATAAATGGCCCCACTTTGGTCAATTCAATGCTCAAATAAAAGTCCAGACCAAAATTTGATCCAAAAAGAACAAAGCAAGACCTGCACTCCATAATAAAGCAGATAGACCAAATATTTTTGGAGGCCAAGCCCAAAACTTTTAAGCAATATGGGCCAACTTGGTGGAAAAATTTTGGCAAAAGAAAATCGGAGGTGCCGAGGTGGCGTGGACGTGGGGGTGCACTTGCACCATACAAGTGATACTGTGATAGTGAGTATTTTTCATTCCATCAATTACATAAATGAACGTATGTGAGTACGGAAAAAGACGAATCTACCATTTACCCTTGTATATGTCTCAACTTAGGAGAGGCTTACCCTTTTACCCTCAGTCTGCTATTGGCAAAGCCTATTTGTTATTAAAAATAACAAAAGATAAATCTAATTTCATCGAAGCAAGATCTCAGTGATAGATATTCCATTTAAGGCTGCATTGGATCATTGAAAAGTTTGATTGGAATCAGATAATTCTGTCGACATCGTTGGCTTTAAATGAATTAATAATGGCGGTTCTTTGGGAGACGGTAATTTAATGGAAAGATTACTTAGATATGAAACAACTTGAATCATTGTTGGCCTATCTTCCGGATTTTTCTGAACAGATAATAACCCAATCTGCACGCACTTCATTGCTTCAATTTCACAACAAGATTCCATCACATAAGGGTCCAATACTTGCAATGGTTTTTCCTCATTCCACAACTTCCACACCTGAAATATTTCTCAACCAATTAGATACTCTTCAAGTTCATACTCTTTGATTTTCACCTTACCATATCAATTTGCATCAGACAGATATGATCGGCAATATGATTATAAAAGGAACAACACAAATAATATACTTACATTGGTTAAGAGATATGTATCATATGTTGTGGCATTCCTCTTTCCACTTAGCACTTCTAAAATTATAACTTCAAAACTAAACACATCAAATTTTTTAGAAAATTGTCCATACATTAAATATTCAAGAGCCATATAATCACTACAAAATTGAAAACAAAAGCTGTCAGACTTAGTATAAAATCAAAAGCATTCAAAAAGGTCAGCTTACCAATGAATGAGGGAATATAAAAAAACTCATAATGGTAATAAATAGGACATATGAAGCAATGTTCACGTACAAAATACATAGAATCTCCTTTTGTTTCTCATATATAGCAAGCTAGGAAGGAGGGGTATCATGACTTACTATGTACCGACAATTTTATTTGTGCTCCCATGGGCTTCATCTATAGCAATAATTCTTGCCATACCAAAATATGATATTTTTAAATTCATCTTGTTATCCAATAAAACATTGCTAGATTTGAAGTCACAATAAGTAACTTTAAGCCGAGAATGTTCATGCAAGTAAGAAAGTCCTTGTGCAATTCCTTCAATAATTATGAAACGCTCAAACCAATTGAGTAATCTTTGTTTCTCAAAATCTATATAATTAATAGTCAAATAATTATTAAAATAAATAGAAGCAACAAATTAGTAGGAAAAATTCATATAAATGATGTGCATAGAGATTTAACCACAATATGAAAATAATGTTAGAAGTTTTATACCGAATAAGAAGAAATCAATGCTCTTGTTAAGCACATATTCGCAAATAAGAATTTTTTCTTGTCCTTCCAAGAAAAATCCCAACAACATCACCAAATTTCTATGTTGGAGTTTGGCTGTAAGCAAAATTTCATTCGTAAATTCTAATGTTCCTTGCATGGAACTTTTTGAGAGCCTCTTGATAACAATTTCTCGTCCATCCGGAAGAATACCCTAAAATGCTTAATCAAATTATTAGGCAGTTATATAATTAGTTTTTGTAGTTAAGTTTAGCATGTTACCTTGAAAACTTCTCTAAATCCTCCTTTTCCTATTTTGTTTGCTTCAGAAAACTTATTTGTTGCGGCTTCAATTGTTGCCAAGCTAAATTGCAAGGATTTCATGTTTGAACTCTCTTCTCCAACTAGTTCAGTATATGCCAATATCAATGTAAGCATGCTATGATCAGAAATAAACATTATTTAGTTTAAAACTGAAAAAACAATATAGATTACAGTTCTCTTTGAAAATAGACTGGCTGCTCTTCCTTGTTTTCCTCCTTAGCAAATAGCAACCCACCAAACAAGAAAGGATCATTGAAATGATAATGGGGACAATAATCTTGACAACAATTAGTGATAAGCCAGTGCTTCCTCTTTCTCCTGATTACGCATGACACCAAGCAAATGCGTCACTTAATTATGTTATTAAGAGCACAAGATAGTTTATGGTGATGGCATGGATTAAATGGGACAAAACTACTTTAGCATTTCAAAGTTTTGTACCTTTTTCTTCTTTAAAAAAAAAAAAGAAATCAATTTTACTGTTGTGTTTTATTCTATCCCATTTATTGGAAAGAGAAACAATTTAAAAATCAATTTTTTCATAGGAAAATTTCAGTCAACTCCCCTTAACCCAACATAATTTTAGTCAACCCTCAAAATTCTGAAATTTCATTGTACATTTGGAGGACTGAACTGAAATTAAAAAGATAAGTTGAATGACTTTATTGTTCTTAGTAAAACTAAGGGCATGAATAACTCATATAAAAAAAATGAACAATTGATACATGAAAAATAAATAATTGACATAGATGAAATGAAAGTTATAAATTTATAGTAGTATTATACTATTAATGAGAGTTGCAAATTTTACGTATGTTAATTATTCATTATATATATATATATATATATATATTAGTTATTAAATCTAATTCTATCTAAAGTAGGATATCGGATATTGCCTCAACTTCGCTCACATCCCTCAAATGTGAACTCACATTTACAAGCTCTCTATGTCAAAAACGCCACATGAGAAGAACCTAATTGGGAGTCTAAATTAATTTTCGAAAGATGTGACTCTGTTGAGAATCAGATAAGCTCCATGCAGTATATATAATAAAGTTGAGAAATACCTTGTGAGGAAGTTGCATTGGTAGATAGAGCAAGAACAGCATTGGTGGGCAATGATAATTGTATTGATGAATCAATAGCTGTAGGATCATAGAAAAGGAATGGTCAAATCTTATATTGCAGCTGAATTTGATAACTCTACCGCCAACCTTATCCTGACAACATACTGATATATCCGAGACAGCCTTCAGTAAGCAAGCGTCGCAATCTTCCTTGGACAAATCAGGCATGCACTGAGCAAGACCATAAACAACAGTTCGAGACTTATCAATTGTTGCATTTCCCACAGCCAACTTACGATGAGAATCACCAGCTGCAGCTATGCTTTTAAGATTTAGCATTAGACGATCAAGCGCATTTTTGTACTTATTTTGATCTGCTGCAACTTTTTCTGGGTTTCCAAAAGCGTTGTAGAAGTCAGGGTATTGGTATATCCCGTACATGGAAGGATTTGAGTATCGAAAAACGCACAAGTCATAGTATCCAAATGCCTCCTTTTGATTTGGACACAGCTTTGGGAGAAGGATTGTGGCTTTGCTGATGCAACCATGGCAAGTTTCAGGCTTCACATCTCCTCTGCAGAGTCCAACTGCGAGAGCCATGTCAGGGTCTTGGCCATAAGAGGAAGTGACGAAGCCATGGTTGACTTTTGTGCAGGAAGTGAAATTAGAGAGAAGGATGTTGAGGTTGGTGTGGTAGGCAATTGTATATGTCTAGTTTGCTTGCCCATTGAAGCACTTGTAATATACGAAAGGCTTCTGGGCGGTGAGGCTGAGAAGATGGGAAAGGAAAGACGAAAGAAGAATCAAAGAAATGATAGACATGATCGTGCAGGAATTATAGAGTCGAAGTATGTTGGGTATAATTAATTTTATGGATAGAGTGATAAGTTGTTTGCAAATTGCAGGCTGAAATGGTAGTTTTATACAGAAACAGAGAAGGACGCTAGCTGCAGGGCTCAACTTGACATCGAACATCCATTGACCTGGAAGTATCCTCGGTCCTCGGACACAGAATTTATTTCATAACAACCATTGTCGATGTCTTTCAAGTCTCAACCTTACGGGTTGGACATTAACTAGGGCAAATAAATGAATTGGGACACCTAAATTCACTCATTTCATCACATGATACGGCAACACCTATTTAATTAATTAAATAATTATAAAAAATTTTTGTCAGATGATATTTAAAAAACATCAAATCTTAAATTTTCACCACGGATGATGTGCTCGAAAATTTGACCCCTAAATTGGTCCTTATATATTTTATGAAATTTCTAAAATTTGAAGTCTTTCACATATTCCCTCCTTTAAAAAATGTAGGCATTTTTTTAAATTATGTGATAAAAATATAATAAACTTTTAATTTTTCAACTTGAGGTTTTTTCAATCTTATGTAGGCACATTAACTACAATAAACAATGCCTTAGCTTCTTTGCCTACCCTAATGGAACTGGAACCATAATTTTTTGCAAATCTGAGCTTTTTAAAAAAAAAATCTAGCCTGAAAGAGTTGAATTAAAAATTTGAAATACCCATTTTTAAATTTACATGGTAAACGAGCTGGAAACCATAGCTTTTTCTTTGCTAATTAAGAATCTGCGTTGCTTTCTACAAATAATATACTGTACAATCCTTTCACCCAATCCTAGACCCGTTCAATCAAGTCATTCTCAATCTTATAGCACCTTTATTTCCAAACCAACCTCAATGCTGTCACATTTTTTGAATTAATGGCTATATCATTTTATTTTATTTTATTTTTGGTATAAAAGTATATCGTTTTATACAAAAACATTATTTCAAATTTACAATTTACCAGAAACCCAGTGCTACAACGCCATTATGTCCCTTTAAAAAAATATGGGAAAAATTAATTTGTAGATCCTTATAGTTTTGGGAATGACAATAAAATCATTCCAAATTATATAAATAATAATTTAGTTCTTTGAAATGCTATAATTCCATAAAAGTTTCTAAAGACTTCTGTGTTAATAAATTTTAAATTCAAAAGACCATTTTACCTATTGATAAGTTGTAATTTATTATTTAATTCTTGCAATTCATTAAATAAAGGTTGTTATTCCTTATACAAAAGTTATAATTAGAATTTCTTATTTTTAAAACTTATTTTTTAATAACAAAAATTATAATTAATAAGTTATAATTTCTTGTTCAATTCTTATTATTTACATAACAAAAGTTATTATTCCTTAAACAAAAGTTATAATCAGGGCTTGTTTTTCAATACCAAAAATTTCACTTAACAAGTTGTTATTTATTATTCAACTCTTATAATTCACAAAATAAAAATTATTATTTTTTAAGTAAAAGTTGTGAGTAGAGCTTTAATTTTTATTTTTACTGAAGGTAAAATAATCTTTTTACTTTAAATATGTGTTTGGTTTTCAGTTTGTCAAAAGTTCATTTCGTGAAAATCAGGTATTGTAACAAAATTTGTGTTTAGATATATTTTTTTAAAATTCAGTTTGTTACACTAAAAGTTGTCTAGATTATGATAGTAAAATAAGCTTCTGAGTATACAATTACCAAAAAAAGATATTAATTTATGATAATTTATAATTTTTATTATACAAATGTAATATATCTGAAATATTTAAAAAGTGTGATAAAGATTTTAAATAATATAAAATTTTATCTATAATGCTAAAAACTTGATCTCTAGTTATTTGTATTTTGTTAATTTATAATTTTAGCAAATGTGATAAAGATTTATAATTTTTATTATACATTAATGCTAAAAATTAACATGGTTAATTATTCAATTTATAATGCTAAAAACTTGATACTTTCATCCACATGAATTAATTCATTCATCATAGCTTCATTATAATCTTTAGAAGGTCTTCCTAAACTGTTTGCAACATGTAGTGAAGGGATTACTATTTTTATAGGTAATACGGTCTCGTGCCCATATGTCAATACATACGAGCTCGTGCTCATGGCCTCTCTCTTTGATATTCGATATGTCCATAGTGTCTTATGAAGGTGTACATGCCATTCTCTAGGATTTTTCTCAATTGTCTTTTTTAGAATTTTAAAGAATATTTTATTAAAAGTTTCAGCCTACTTATTTGCCTGAGGGTAAGATGGTGAGGATGTTAATAATTTGATCCCACTCTCCTCATCAAAGGCTTTGATGTAGCTTCCAGTGAACATGGTTCCTTGGTCCGTTGTGATCATTTAAGAAATCCCAAACTGAAATATAATTTGCTTATATATAAAATTAATAATGTCATCCTACTTTACTTTTTTATAAGGATAGACTCTACCTATTTTGTGAAATAATTTGTGGTCACTAAAATAAATAAGTGGCCCTTGGATGAGGCCGGATAAATCTTTCCTATTATCTAATGATAGGATGCATGTCTGATGCTGGTATCTGTTGTGCTGGCCCATGAGTCTAGCATTTCCTGCATCTTTTAGTATATTTAATGCAGTCTTTTGTCATTTATGGCCAATAGTATCCTTGTATGCGCACCATCCATTGCATCTTCGATCTTAATTGATGGGCCCCACACACTCCTTCATGCACCTATCTTAAAACCTCCATGTAGTGAAGGCCAAACACTTAAGTAATTAAATTCATCACCAAAAGTTTATTTTTAGCGGTGACATTTAATTATTGCCTTCAAAAGTATAATTTTGGTGGTGATCTTTAGCAGCATCGAAGTGGACTTTTGGCAGCTACTTTAATTTATCACCACCAGAAGTGAACTTTTAGTGATGATTTGTTTAGTTGTTGCTAAAAGTCACCGCCAAAAATCATATTTTTATAGTGTAATTTCCAACATGCAACACAAAAAGTGGTCCTCTAGCACTGGTACGTAGTTATATATATATATGTATCATCTTTATATGTTTATATGGTTGAATTAACCAGCTATTAAATCTGTTATAACTATTAGATGCAACCTCTTGTAAACCATTTGCACAGCCCCTCCGGTGCCCACAAAATTGAAGTGTACCATACCAATTATACGTAGTATAGTGAAATCAAGATCATTCTACAAGTTAAAGTAAAAAAAATTAGGTATAAATGAAATCTATCTTCATCTTATTTAAACTAATCAATCAAAAAGTGAAATTTTTGTGAATTCAAATCAAATACAAAGAAAATTAATACAAATAACTTCGAGGGAAGACAAGCAATTAAGGAACACATACCCTAGGAATTATAATCCTCTTTATACTTTGCAAATCAATTTCTCCTAGTTATCTAGTTTAATTCAACTTTAAAATTAAGGCTCTTAATTAAATTTAAGTGTCTTTCGGTCCACAAAAACCCATAACCTAACACAATGCTATAATATCTCATCTACAAAGTCAAGACTCAAACAAGCACAAACCTTACAAAGATTATCTAGAGCCATTGAATATATGTCTATTTCAAGTGTAAATTAGATGAATTCTAATCTTACATTGCTTAATTAAAGATCTAATTGCAATTCCCTTTTTTCAAAGGCAAATTCCAACACAACACACAAGCTAGAGTTGGCCACCCACCAGCATGAGCAAAATAAATTCATATCCCACAACAACTGGAATTAAGTTTTATAAAATATTTTAATGGACAATTTCTCTATTCTCCCACTCTTTGCATCCCTCTATCTTATTTTATAAGATATTTTTGGGATGATTTGGCATCATGAAATATAAGAGGTTTTGAAAAAAAATCATTAATAATAATTATTCCAATATTACCTTCCTTATTTCACTCTTTAAATAAATTTTTTTCTCTCTCCCTCTTAATAATTAATGAAAAATATTTTTAAAAATTTATATAAAATTAAAATTGTAAACTGTGTTTAATAAATTTTATTAATATATGTGGTTTTTTTAAAAATATTTTATAAATTGGGATGAGGGAGTACTAGAACCCAACCGCTACAATTGCTACGCATCACATAATAGGACCCATAGCTTTATAGTGATGGTAAAGGTCCACGAATGGCCCCCAATTGAATGCTATTAAATTTTAGTCAACTAGCCTCTAATAATTGAATCATATGCTATCCTTTTTTCCCCTTTTATCTAGAGTGACAAATACCATCAACTTGAAATTATACAAGCAGGTCAAATTTGTGACCCTTGATTTATACAGAAGTTTTCAGACAATTTGATCACGAGAACATTAGCAATGCTATACATTGAGAGTAAAAGATGAATGTTCCTATCCTTAAAAAAAATTAACTTTTTATTTATGTGTGTGCACCAGTGGCGAAGCCACATCTAGTTGAGGGAGGGCAAATGCACTCCCTCAATTTGGCTAAAATTATAAGTGTAGAGTGAGAGATTTAATATTTTATACAATCGCACATGATATTTTTATATTTTATACTTTTATTCTTAACTAATTATTTAAAATCACTCAAGTCCTTATTAAGATCTAAATATATTAATTACAAATTTGCCAAACCTATAACAATTTAATTTAAGCATGCTGAATTTTAAAACAAAATCTTAAGCTCTTACTATACATGAGACAACCTTCATATAAAAAAAATCATTATTTACCTTTTAATTACAAAATCAAATCCAAATTTTTTACAATGATTTTTTATTATTTAATTTTTATTTCTTGCTCAACAATATAATTTTAAAACATGAAATCACAAAATACTAATTTTTTGGTGATTATTTTTCACCTCTATTATTGTAATGTATATAATCATTTTTAAATTATTAAATGTTTATTTTTATAATATTCATATTCTTAAATTAAACTGCAG